AGATGCGAATAAATGGAAAATTTTTTGTTGTTCTTGTAGCATTTTTGATTTTTCCCCTTTTTTCTGTGTGAGCGTCCTCTCAAAAAATATGCCACAGGCATAAATTCCCAATTAATAGCACATAATGTGGCTAAATCTACGGCTGGCGGTTTACTTCAGGAAGCCTTAAATGTTCTATAGACAGCTGGCTTTTGAGGATGAGACTTTTTTATGGTCATTAATTCAGGAGCCAAAAATGACAAACAGCAAACAGACAGCAAAAAAGAAAAATGGGAGGTAAAAAAGCATTTTATTTATCCTTGTTGCAAAAAGAGTTTAATTTAACATAAGAGTTTAATTTAACAAGAGCGAACGCAGCACAAGCTGCAACTGTCACAGTGGCTGCTTGTTTATCCAGGCTCATCTAACACAATCTGTCCAGTGGAAACACAATGAGCACAACCGTCCAGAAAAGAACACCTAACACATTCATGCTAGAGGGGAGAACAGTACATCCACATAATCATTCTAATGCTTTAGATTATGATTTTCATTTAACACTATGGCATTAATACCATTTCAAATAAGTAAATGATAAGACAAACCAGCAAAGAATGTACTGTGGTATATTTCAATGTTAAATATCTTAAAATGACAATCAATATCTTACTAGAAAAATATCTTTTTTAGTTCAATTAAGTGGTTTTTGTGATTGATCATATTATTATTATTATTATTATTATTATTATTATTATTATTATTATTATTATAAAAAAATTGTGTTCTTCCTTTTGTCATTGTTTATTTATCAATGCAATTTAGCATTTCTATAAAATAGAGCAGCGGTCATCAAACTCACTCAGAATACCAAACCCATTTGCCTGTAGCGCCTCGCATATTCGGGTGAGCAATATTAAAACTGTCTTATATCGATAAGAAACAATAAAACAATGCACACTTGACGATAACAGCATACAAACTACACGCTACTGTGCAACACACTCATAAGGATGACTTTCTACCAAATAAAAAGGTAATTTGCATAACCAACCAAGGAAAGGTCTGGACCTTTAATAGAGCACTGGGCCCATTTACAAAATGTAAGAAGGGAAAAAAGCTTAAATCTGCAACTTAAAATCTGCTACTAGTAGGTTGTGTCGCGGGTAAGATGACGTTATTATAACGTTATTATGTCCAAGTACCAGTCAAACAAGGTTTGCAAACGAGTTATCAGTCTTCTGGGACACGTGAGAAATCTTCAAAGAAATAAAGAAGTTGGCAGGGAATTAACGAGGAAGCTCGAGGCTCATCCTCGTCAGTCGAGCCTGTAGGCAGAGATGTGTGCGCACTCAAAGGCACCGCCATCATGGTCAGGAAGTTCTCTCCTTTCAAATTAAAGGCTATTAGTTCCATAAGAAATAAAAATTACCGATAGAGCGTTTTCTCTATGCCACACAGCCCAATTGTAATTGTCCTCAATATTACGCTTAAACATAGTCTTCAAATTAACTTCTGTGCCGAGGATGTTAAGATAATTAAACCACACACCTCCTACATGCGCTAGTAGATTGAAGGAACTTGAATGAAGAAATTTAGAGCCGCTAACCCACACTATTTGCTATAACTCAGTGAATGTATACACATCCAATTGCCTAACCAGTAAAGGTGTTTTAAGTCCATTTTACTGGCCGCAATTAGGCCTACATATGAAGTGACAATGAAAAATGCAATAAATCGATTCTTGGTATTTCACGCCATTTGGAACACCCACACGTCCTGGTGTCACCAGTTACAACAGGCTTCGATCTGTGTGACGTGCTGAGAAAATGAAATTTTTCATAGCCAGCTCGAAACGATATCACACCTTCTTCATAATTACTTTCTTTGATCAGCAGAGCGTACTCGATAGACTTTTTATGCCGCCCTGGATTTTTAGCTAAACGGGATGAAAGTAATGACGCCGTTTTGGCTTTCTCGAAAAGATGAATGACTCGTCGAAAACCAAAACATAAACGCAGTTATCGGGAGTATCGTTTAGTAGGACTAAATGAAAAAATGTATTCATTCTTGGTCAGCGTGAACAATCGCACACACACACGCACACACACACACACACACACACACACACAGAGAGAGAGAGAGAGAGAGAGAGGATAACGGCACAATGCAGTATGCAAAATTTATCGAGAATCATATCGCCATATCCTCAGTTATTATGTACATGTACTGTCACTTTTCCGAACGAAGTTAGTACGTGATTAATACACTTCAATTACATTTTATTCATTTATTTATTTATTATATTTATTTAGAGGGGATTAAATTTCGATATCCNTAAGCTCCTAGGGTTAATAATACATATTATTTTAAAATGCAAGTTATGGTATCACTTGGGAATTCGACGGCTAATACTCAGTTATGTTTCAAAAATTTTCTTATTCCACTTAAATGTACAATAAATTTCCATTTTCGTACTTTGCAGATGCATAGAATAAACTTGAGTTTTTGCCCTGCTTTTTAGAATTGCAGGATAAGGCCTTACAGACAAATATGGTAGAGGAATGAAATCATTACGCAAAAGAAACAGCCGAATGCATGCTTATTTCTTTAGATGCTACTTACAGGTGCTAACTGTTGGTTTACATTCTTTAATATTTAAACGCTTTCAGGGTCCAAAGGATAAAAGTTGTTACATGTGCAGTACTGGACGGTTCTATATTTCGGCGGTATGGTCTTTCAGTATCAAAACTGTATTTGTGTATAGTTCATTTCTACTTCAGTGCCGTCTTTATGACACATCGTTTTTGTTCGTTTGAAGAAGCAATTTGTCCTGATCGTCACGCGAACTGCTTTTTTGTCGTTGTTATTGTTCCTGTGGTTGAAATTATAGGTCACTCTGTCTGAACATAGACATTACAAGAAACTTTAATAGGATATATATCAAAGTTAAACTAACTCAAACATTCCCCAAGGCGGAGGTTTAATTACAGCATGATATGAACTTACACTGTAAAACAATCATTGAAACTCGAAATGTGTTTTTCTTCGTCGATTCATTATAGCACTACCTTATCTTTTAAAACTGATTGATTTTTCTTGATTATTTAAATGACCAAATCAAAAGAAAAGTGTCAAAACACTTGTTTTCATCCATTTTCCGCTTAAGATTCACATATTTCAATAATGCCAGAAAGCTACAATAAGGAAAATGAATTCTTTCAAAACATACAGTAGGTCTGAAATCTTTAAAATCTTTGTCCTAACAGGATCCCGTTCACTGATAAAAAAACAAGTGCATTTCCGCGGTTAGCACGGTTAGTAATGGGCGTAACGCGATCTAACGGGCCTCAGTCTACTTATCCAGTCGATTATCGAGCCATCCAATCTGTGTTAAAGATTCCGTCGCCAACATTGCCCCGACCTATGAAGAGACATACAAATATTGACAGTACGCTTGGCAGGGTCGCCTCGCCGCATTATGAAGTGTATCAGTGAATTACATACCTATACCGTCAGATAAGGATTATCAGCATGTCAAATTTTTATTGAAATTACTCTTCGTCGACCGGAAAGGGATTAAGTCGGACGGTCCTGGATACCACTGCAGTAGATAGGCCTATACGCTGCTTCGATAACTCACTTGTACGGTAAGTGTATGCATTCAGATCACACTCTATATTTGTTATGTTATGCTTTAATGACTGTTCTTTTGTTAGGATGACAGACATTATAAGTTACTGTGCTTGACACTAATGAATGGACACAATGAATCTAAGGCCCATTCTACATCTCTGCAAAAAATGTACCGATACAGAATGTATCGCTAAAGTAAGCTTGTTTTGGTGTGCAAAAGGACGAAAGAAGTTTGGCTTGAAGTACTTAGGCGAGTCTTAGAGTAGTTGGTTACATAGTCCTTCGTATTGTGAGAACATTGAAAGCTCTTTTAATGGGACAAGCTCAATACGGCACACAATGTATTACGTCAAGTCATTCCCGGGGTATTCAGCAAGCATGAGATGGGGTTAAATAGGTCGTCTTTTTTCTTACTGGAAAAATACTAGTGTTGGGTGTTGAGGACATTAAACGATATTGATATATACAAAAGCATAGTCTACACTGCAATCTGCCCTTGGGATAAAACTAGGACCCATCAAAGTCCGATAAAGTGTTAAATTATCTACAGTTATATCTTAATTTTACATAGTAACTTAAGCTAGTAAACACATACAGTACTATTACTCGTACATACATCCCCCACCTTTTCCTTTCCCTACATCACTCTTTGACCTCATTTCCAGAGATTAGATCGATCTACTTTAGATCGATCTAAAAGCTCTGGGAATACAGCCTTTGACTAGGGGTGCTTTTCCAGAGATTTAGATCGATCTAAAGATTAAGTTTTAGATCGACCTAACTCCCTGGGGTTTCACGCTAAATTGCAGTCAGCCGAGCGGGCACTATAGTTAATTACCCCCTTTCAGCTTTTAGTAGGCGGGACAGACGCTTAAGTCGGCCAAGCTGACAGTAATCTAGTGAGACTCCCCACAGGGATAGATCGATCTAAAATCTATGGAAATGGGGTGTAGGTCCCCATCCCTAGATCGATCTTACATGATCAGTCCATCTCCATGGGATTTCTCACTAAATTGCTTTCAGCTTAAGTGGCTTAGATGTCTGGGACGCCTACTAAAGCTGCTAAACGATAGTTAATTACCCCCTATCAGCGTCAGTACGGGTGACAGACATCTACACCGCTTAAGTTAATTGCTATTAAGCGAGAATCCCCTCGGAGATAGTTCGATCCAAATTTAGTACGATAGGGTCTAGGAATGATCTCTTTCTGTCCATCACTGTCATCACTCTTTCCTTTACCCTCCTTGTTATACATCTCTCTCTCTCTCTCTCTCTCTCTCTCTCTCTCTCTCTCTCTCTCTAGCAATATATTGCAAATGACAGAAAAACGTTAACACGGAGTTTAGTCGAATAAAGATATCCATTTCATAAAGCCAATTCTCAAGAAATAAAAATCACCGGCAAATGTCTAATTTAATTTTGTTTCATTTCCTGTAGACATCCGCTTCCCCCACCCCTTGAACTAGATACATGCTGATATAGAGAATGAGGCCTTATTAGTCATTAACTGGTTAAGTTACATGTTGATAAATATAGATTCAACAGGTAGCAGTGTCCGAAGTGAGATGAGTAATCCGCCGGTACACATTAATGTTTGATACAGAAAACAGACAAGCATGTTGTGCACGGGCCACATTGCCCAGTGACTGTCGTCTGCTGGTCCAGGTCAGTTTATTTAGATTGCCCCGATGTCCGCCGGCTAGCCTTATCAGATTTGGTTGAAAGATGACCGTTTACACGGTTTAAGCTACGAGTAAGTCTATAAATAGTATCAAAGATTTATAAAAATAGTGATAAACAAAGCAATTTTCGGTGGTGTGTCATGGAAGAGAGAAGCCGCGTCAAAACTGAACTGGGAAACCCCGCACCGGCTGGCTGCGGAGCTTGTCAGTGCTCATGACGACTGAGGCCTATTACAACGACCTGTTTAGTATTATTTAAATGACATCGTGTTCATTTTGAATTTCAGAAACAGTGGGTGGTTGCGCTTAGTATGCTTTATCCATAGGACTGACCGGCCTGCTGATTAACTTGACTTGAAGTGGGCTTCCTCTCTTTTTTCGCCGTCAAAGCAACCTCTTGTGTCTCACCCGACGTCTGCAAGCTTACGCAGGGTCGATTCGCGGAGATTGAAACAAAAGGGAACGCTAATGACTGACGATAAGTTCATCAAGAACAATAACAACACGGATTTCCAGCTGGAAAAGGTCGCCTATGCGTGTTATAACACGAGACAGCGTGGATTTTAAGCAGGCATTGTCTCCGAGCCCCGTGCTGTACAAGGTAGCTATAGTAGGCCTTTATGAATAAGTACCCAGTTTCCCTGCCTTTAGGCGCTAGCAAATGAGGCCGCTAATATTTCAATGTCGTTGTACATGACACAATCGTCAACCCCTTAATGAGTGTGAGATCACGACGCACGCGGATATAGATAGCAACTCGACAGCGAGGTTGGGGCATAACAATACGCCGAACGCCAAGAAATCGGACGAAACCACAAGCAAAGTGAAAGCGGGGGAGGAATTCACGGTGGAATTTACGGACTGTTCAAATCCTGTTTTGGATTTCGATTCCATCTTCCGTCTTCTTCACCTTGATGATGCCAACGGCTTACTTTCAAAGCCTCACATCTTAACTTAAGTCCAAACACGGGCAACAACGGCGAAACTTAGGATTTTACATATCTAAGGCATCCTAACTTGATCTCATGACGACGGGTCAGGACCAAGGATCACACCCGGGGGAAATGACAGTGCAAGCGGCGGCGACACCGGAGTCACCCTCCCGCGACGTGGTAGAGAGACCTCCCAGCATTGCCCACACTATCCCCGAAGACGTGGTGGCGTTTTTGATCATCCTTACCTACTCGCCTCTAGGGTACATTTTCCAGAAGTACTGGGCCTGGGATCCTCGCGTGGTGTACCTTGTGGCGCTGGTGCTCCTGTATGCCACCTTGGAGGCCCTGAGATACGTGAGAAGATGGAGAATTGAGGACGTGGAATTCATTTTTTCAGGTACGTGGTTTTATGCATAGTTTAAATGTGAGGTCCCATCAGTGGATGTGGTCATTTACATTTCACTTAGCAACAGTATGACGCCACTGAAACTACACGTATTCGTATTTGTAGTAATTGTTCACGTCTGAAAGAAATAGTCATCAAGCACCCTTTAAATCAAGATACGTACCGTTACGACACAAGCCAGTTGTCATATAAAAGGGTGCTTTGTTGTCTTGATAAACGTTAAGAATTGTTACCGCGGTGTCAAACTATCGCCATCCAGGTACATTTTGTACGCGGGATTAAGTCACTCACCTGTGTTCCCATTCTCAGGGTGCGTGTCCTGTTTGGCAACTTAAAAAACAGTGCACGTTTCGCTCGTGTTTGTTTTGACAGTAATTATCTCGTTATAACAGTTACTTCGAAAAACATGGAGGGTACTAGGGAGTGGAGTGTTTGCGGTGTATAAGATACACTAATCTTTTAACCAATTTTCTTTGCGATACACGGCGTCACGTGCAACAACTTGCGTCTTTTAAAGATGTGTCTAAAAGATGAAGACAAAACGTTACTGTGCACGTTGGAATGACAGCTACAATCTGAGTTTGAGTTTGCATGGTTTTTGTGGCCTGAAGAACTTATTTAGTCTTACCGACTTCCGGCGCATTTTAGCTAGATGGGCCCTGGTATATACTGAAAAATAGTTGTGAACGTAACAAGACTCGATTAATAACTGTTTTGTTTAACCCGAAATACCTAAAAGTTATGGGGTTATTCACCAACAATAGGATTCCATACGATGGCAAAGCACCTAGACAGCGTATCTGTAAACACAGTACGTTGCTATGAACGGGATAACTGCGAAGTGATATAGTTGTGTTCTGCATGTTATGGCATTTAGTTAACAAAAGCGAGTACGACTTAAATACTTTATGGAAATATCTGCTGTCCGTCAAGGCTGAAGAGAGATTTTTTCTTTTATGATGGACGTGCATTGTATTGTTGCGGTCTGTACATTGTGCATGCGACAACGACAACACGCTGGTGCCTCTCTCGCGTGTTAATTCAAGTGGACGTTAGTTTTGTAAATGCTTTCAGTTTATTACCAGCCTTACTTGCTCTCATAAACACCGTCCCGCTTTCTTTAATTCACCGAAATTATATTTTCTTATAAATTGTTTTTAATCTTATTCTATACGCTGGGACAATGTTTCATCCCCCGTCAAGACAGTCTCTATTTATGCAAAACGCCCCCAGGTAAACTTGTACTTAAAAGTAAAAGGTGATCTGTCTGTACCTTTCCTATAACGTAAAAAGATTAGAAAAAATGGCATTAATAAGACTTGTCTTTTTTACGTGAAATTTGATACGCGCATTTGTTTCAGTGTTGTGATTTCTTATTAATAATGTTATTTTCTGCAGAAAAAGGTCAACGATAGTACCCAACACAATGAGATGTGATGAGACTATTTGGTTGACAAGAATTATTTATGAGGCTTACGGTTGCAATTGTGCATTGTTTTTTTTTAAACCAATTTCAAATTAAGTCCAACAGTGCATCCTTTCCTATTTACTACGAATCAGCTACGTATTTGTTTGATGCGTATGTGGGTGGGGGTGAGCTACTTGTGTTTGTGTTTGTGTGTGTGTG